ACTTGCATTGCTGAGTCTTTCTCTTCATTGATGTTTTCCCTGCCCGAGCTTTGCTGCAAGGGCCTTTGGACCAACATTATAGCCAGTTTCTTTCTAATTCCACCCAAGTCTCCTTTCTCTTGTCTCAGAGACTAGAAGAACTCAAAGGCATCATTTACCCGATCAGCACTCCATTGTTGTCCCATGGCACTGAGGAGGGAGTTAGGGGGTGACATGTCCATGTCTAGTGTGTCCTGAGTGCAGCCAGATGGGTCTCCAGCCCCTTTCTCCTTTGCTGACCACTGAGGTAGAAATTCCAATGTGTGCCAAGCAGGTGAAAGACAGGGTCCTCGGGCTCAGGAGACTAGCTATGTATGCACAGCATGAAAATCAGCTGGGCCAGGACCTCAGGTCCTCTGACTTGGTTCTCATCAACCGGATGAAATGTATCTCCAGTGCTCATGATGAGTGGACAAATATGCCCAGAAGAAGGCAAAAACTTCCTGAGCAAAGAGTAGAAGAAACAAGTGTAGGATGTTCGGGCTTTTCCAGTTTTCTCTTCAGACCCGTTGCTTATCAGACTGAAAAGTGCAGAGGAGATGACATGAACATATCACCGGGGTGAGGGATGCTGAGGAACAGCTGAATTCAGTCCAGTCTTAGAGCATAGATTTTTCCCTGCTCCAACATGTGGGCCTTTAATATCCAACTCCAAGAGCTTAGCAATGTGAAAATATTGTCAACAGAGGAGCTGGAGACTTTAGGAGAAAAATTTGCCTGTATTTTTAGTCACATCCTGGGGATGGTCCTGTCTGATCTTGAGGCATATTTTTAAAAGTATATTTGGAGTATTCAGCAACATATTCTGAGTATTTAAAACCTTCCCTCACCTTCTAGCTCTCCAACTTTATCAAAAAGAAAAATGCTGAGGGTCTCCCCTGGTGGCGCAGGTGGTTGAGTGCAGCACTGTGAGGCTATCCCAAGCCTTTGCAGTGTGGGTTTGATTCCGGCCGGCTGGCGAGAATCCCACATGGCGAGGCAGACCTCTCCTGTCTCACCTGCTGCTCCCCTCAGCAGTGTGTTTCACTCAGTCTGCCTGTTCTGTCTCCACTCTGCGTCTGGTGAATCCTCTCACCCTCCCGCACATCTGACCTGTATCCCGGTTCTTGTATGTGTGAATAAATAAATCTTTAAAAAAAAAAAGAAAAAGAAAAAAGAAAAATGCTGATCGATTTAGAGGCTATTTGTACACTGTAATTGCATAATGCTTAATATACAAGTGGTACTCTGAAGTGATGAATGGGGAAATCACATTGTCAGGGACCAAAGGAACTGTCTTCCCACCATTCCACCGGAAATAGTTCTGCCTATGATTGTATGGCCCTATGAAAATGACCTACACTTAAATATTAAAAAGCAAGCATATTTTTCTTCTTCTGATTTACCTGAAAGAAGGTAAAAAATAACCCAGGACCAGGAGACACCCCCTATATCACCATGTTATAGGCTGGTGGGTGCTGACTCAAAACTTTTCTAGAATTAGTTTCCAGTTACAGGACTTAACTTATTAAAAGGCAATGCAGTTTTCCTGCCTCAGCCACTATGAAGCAAGTCAGTGTATAGGTAAAAATAACTGAATGGGTTAAAAACTAGTGAAGAAATCGGAAAAGACAGAGTAGTAAGTGGTTCCTCATCGGAATGTAAAGGGGTAAAGAAAGGAATGATATCCTTTAAACACATTCATGAATAATTTGAGGAAGGAAGTAAAGTGCAAGTTTGTGCATGATGCAATATTGTTTGAGTTACTAAACATTATGAAGAAATGAGAGGAACTCTAGATGAATTAAAAACAAAATGCAAAAGCTGTAAAGGGAGATTTAACAGCCTTCTTATAGTTGTAGTTTTTATGTAGTTTTTATTTTCTAATTATTTCACATTAAGGAAACATTGAGTCTGCTAAAGATCTTTGCAAAGCAGGCCAGTCTTAGTAAAAGATTATTAATGTCCCTAAATGTTTATTAGAGCTAGAGTAATTAGGAATGGCTTCAGATCAAGAAAAAAATGGAGTTTCTAGGTTTTTGTAGACAGTATCATTCTGAAGTCTGTAATAAGAAGACTGCCTGTAAGGAAAAAAAGTGAAGGGTCACTTCAGGTAAAAATGTTTTCATGCCTCTAGTATTTATTAATGTAGTTACAGACTTGTGGTTAAGCTAGTGAAAAAGAAGGGATGTTAGGAGAACCTGATACACATATGGATAATTTAAAGGAAGGAGCAAGCCTTTAGAAAACTAGCTTTTTGTTTCAAATTAGAAGATGTTATTTAAGTTTCCCATTTTTCTTTTAAACATTTGGGCAGGTAGGAGAAAGAATAATAAATATAAATCAGAATTTTCAAAAGAAGAAAACTTCAGCTCTGTGGAGTGAGGGGAATTAACATGATCCAATCAACTCATTCAATAGATATTTATTGAGGGGGGGTTAAGGAAAAAAATCGAGGAAAAGAGATAAACAAGTGCACAGACACATATAATTTCAAGTAGAAAACAGTTAATGATGCACAATACCACAAACGTGTACAAATAAAAGCCTCTGTGTTTGAGAGAAAGACAGATGAGGCCCCACTGTTAGTGAAGAGGCCCAAGCTCAACAGTCAGGCTGCTGGGAATAGAGTTTCCGTGTGGCTGACCAGAGATAAGAGCAAGGTAGGCTTGGTCCAGTTCCAACGCTGAAAGCTTGGCTGAGAACTTAGAACTTTATTCTTTAGTCATTTCTAGCTTCTTCATGACTGAGAGTGTAGCTTGCTGGCCTTTTGAAGGGATGAATGAGCCATTAATGTTCTTTTGAGTTGATAAGTGACAGACTCCAGTTTTTGCTGAGCAAGATTAAGTGGTGCGTAGGAGGAGTGGGAGGGATGGGGATGGGTTATAAAAGCACGAGGCAACATTTCCTGAGTTAATCCTACTACATGCCCAGCATTCCACTAGATGCTTCACACACATGTTCTCAGGGATTATTTAATCCTTATAATAACTCTTTGAAGAAGGAAAACTAAGTATACTGTTGAAAAAACAAGTTCAGAAGGGTTAACTCAACCAAATGTCACACTTGTAAAGTGCTAGAATCAGGCTGCAATCCAAGTCTGCCTGTCTCATAAGCTTGTGGGTTTATAAAAAAAAAAACACACAAAAACCCAACATTTTTGACACTATTCAAATAAGGATGGTTTTAACAAGGACAATGACAAGGAATGGGAAGGGAAAGAGAAAAAAATTCAGCAGTCAGGGCCTCCCTGCTGGCGCAAGGGGTTAAGTCTCAGCACTTTGAAGCTATCGACAGCCACTGCAGCACAAGCTCCATCCCCTACCAGGGAGATACCCACATGGCGCAGCAGACCTCTCTTGTTTCGCCCGCTGCTCCCCTCAGCAGTGTATTTCAGTCAATCTGTCTGTTCTGTTCCCTGTTCTGTCTCTGGTGAATCCTCTCACCACCCCCGCACCTCGGGCCTGTACTCCAGTTTTTGTATGCATAAATAAATAAATCTTTAAAAAAAAAATTCAGCAGTCAAAAAGATGTATCAACTAAAAACAGCATGGGGACCAAGGATTATAGTCAAAAATTCTAGCCCAGATAACTGAATAATGCTGTGAACTTCAAATTTGGAAAGGAAGTTGGGGAATTAAGCTTTGGACTTACTGCCTGAAATGGCAGCAAAATGTTTGTAAGAAGAGAGTTACACTTTCTCCAACATGTGTAAGTTATAAAATGGTCAAGCAGAACACACACAAAGGCATCACTCCACAGCGACTGACACCTATTAAGGCCGTCTTCTGCCCTTTGCACAAGTGATCTCCACTGTCGGCATGCTTCTGTCTCCCTCCTTGTTCACTGCTCACCCCTCAGGTCCATTTCCCAGGAAGACCTTCCCTGAACCCCCAGTTTCCTCACCTCAGTTATTTTCTCCCAATGCCTCTCTCCTTTACTATGCCTCCCCTAGACTGAGCTGTAGGAGGGCTGGGTTGCTTTTTACCTGGACATTCAGGCTGTCACTAAGTCCGACCCTCAAAAAATACTTGTTGACAGACTGATTCCCATGTTGCCCTGCAAAAGAACTACCCTGCCCTGTTAAGTCACAGTTTCTGCCTTCTTAAGGGCAGTTGCAGTCAACAACCTCAAGACCAGGAAATCATCTTTCTCATCACATACCAGGGTATTATTCATGCAGTTTACTCACTGTAAAGAGTTCCCTTGAAATAAATCTAACGACTAGTCACAGATACACCAATTTCTCAGTGTCCATCAGCTTCTTAAGAAGTCTTGCGGGGGGAGGTGGGTGAGATCCAACCCTTCTTTGCTCTATTTCTGAAATACAGAGCAGAGGCAAAGGCTTCAGAATTTCTCTCTGGGAGGGTCTCGGGGGCTTCACTCATGTTGTGATGGAGAACCACGGCCTTTTCTTCCAACCAGCTTTTGCGAACAGTATTACCTAAAAGTGAGGCTTTGTGTGCACTGTGTGGCTGGAGGTAAGGAACATGCGGCTATTATTGGGGGAGTTTCTAACGCACCTCTAGGGTCCTTTTGAATAAGGTAGTTTTGCGGTTCAACCGTCAAGTTTCATTTTATTTTCTTTCCACAGGGAGTTCCCTTGAGCTTTAAGGGCTGTGGAGGTCCGCTCGATGGGGGGCTGAACAGAAGGATTTCAGAATCTGGGCGAGCCAGGGGGAGATTTCTCTCAGCGGGGTTTCACGGCTACTCAGAGCCACACTGGGAGCACCCCGGGGTAGCGCCCGGCTCTCCCCGGGCAAAGAGCAGGAAAGCCCGGAGAGCTTTGCGCGCCGCGGGGGCCCGGGCCGGGCTCGGGGGCGGGAGGGCGGCGCCCGCGGGGCCCCGGGTGGGGCGAGGGCGGGGCCGCGGCGGGGCGGGGCGGGGCGGGGCGAGCCGGCGGGGCTGGGGCGGGGCCAGGCGCGCGGCTCGCCCTCGCCCAGGCCGCAGCCGGGCTCCGCCTCGCCGGGCTACGCAGGCGGCGGGGCTGCGGCACGGGCCGGGCAGCACCATGGCGGCGGCGGCGCCTGCTGCGGCGGCGGCTTCTCCCGAGGCGCCGGCGACGACTGCGACGGCAGAGCCCGGGGCTGGGTGCGAGGGCAGTTGCGAGGTCCGAGTGCTGCAGAGCCTGCGGGGCAAGATTTGTAAGCTGGGGCCGGGCTGAGGGGACAACCCCGGCGGCGGCGGCGGCGGCGGCGGCGGCGCGGGGCTGAGGGGGCGGCGGGCGCGCGGGGGTGGCGGCGCCGCGCCGGGCCGGGACCGCGGGACGCGGAGGGCCCTGAGCGGGGCTGGGCCGGGCCGGGCGCCCGCGGAGGGACCGCGCGGAGGGGGCGGGAGGGGGGTGTGTGAGGGGAGGCGGCGCCCGGACGGGGCGGCGTGGGCTGGGGCTGCCGGCGTCGGCGGGGAGTGGACGGCGGGGCGTTTGCCTGCGCGAGGGGCCGGAGGGCAGCGCCGCCGCGAGGGGCCGGGCTGTGGGGCGCGGCCTGGACGCCGGGGCGCCGGGGCCCGGGGCGCGGGCAGGGGGCGTGGGCCCGAGGCGTGAGGAGTTTCCGGCCGCCCGCGGACCAGGCCTCCGGGCGGCTGCGGACGCCGGGGAGCCTCCCCGCGGCGGGAGCCGGGCGGTAATTACGGGGAGGCGCGGCCGCGGCGGGGGGGAGGCGGCGGGCGGGGAAGTGGGGTGGCGCGGGAGGAGGGGGCTGCCCGTTTCCTGGGCTCACGCGCCCTGGAGAGGTTGAAAAAGGCGCCCTGAGCGGCAGGAAGCAGGCCCCGCGGGCTCGAGCGGGGCCGCGCGCGGTGTTTTCGAGCGGGCGCGCCGGGAGGGGCCGGCGCCGGACACCTGTGCTCGCCCCACCTCGCTGCGGCGGGACCTGAACTGAGAGACAGGCTGACTGCCCGGGACCCGGCAGGATGTAGTGGCTTCCTGTGAGCAGGTCTCAAAACAGTCATCTAGCCCGCACTCTAACCCACTTAATTCCTCTCCTTCTCTTGCATTTATTTAATTGTTACTTTTGTGGGCGAAGGGTGGTAGTTGACTTAATACAAATTTTTTTTTTTTGGGGGGGGCTCGGAGCTCTGAGCATTACTATGGATTGACCATTTGCGCTGTCATTTCGACATCTATTTTTTAAATGATCCTTTGGTATCAGATCGCTAATTTTTCCCCCCACAATAGTTTAATCAGAGAAGAGCCTTCCTCCTCCCCCCATCCCCACTGTTTGTTAAGATAAGCAGTAAAACTAATTTTTGGTTTTGTCAAAAAATAACCTCATAATCTTTATTCAGTATCCTCAGATTGGAAGCATGCTGCATGTTTCTTGTAAATAACAGTTATGAGGAATACTTTTTACTTCGTATAAAGGAAACCATGTTGCAGTAAAATGGCTTTTCTACACAGGATGTAAACTTGCCCTTTCCCTGAATAGAAATGTTAATTGAGCTTCGATTTCTTCCACTTCGCTGTTTTCAAGTTGCCCTCCACCCCCTTTCAAGTGTTTAGGATTTTATTAAACTTCAGAAGCAAACATCTTCAATTTTCTTACCTTTTTATTCCCAGAAGTTGTCCTGTGCTCTTAAGAAAGAATAGTTTTTAAAACCTGGAAAATAACACCAGAGAAGTAGATCTTGTCTAAGTTCCCAACATTGACGTTACCTGCTAGGTAGAAAATCTTCTCAGAAATCAGATTAAGTCATACACTTAATATGCATATAATTAATTTTTGGGAACACTATAAATGAGTCAGAGTTCCTGCTTTGATCCAGTTTTCCAAAATTTTACCACTTTTTATTTTAGTGTCACTTGATACTAGGTACTGATTTACATAGCTGCAGGTTATACCGTGGGACTATGTATGCATAACTTGGAAAGGAGAGTTAGGGTTGGGCTGTTTCCAGTAGGACTTAGTTGCCCTGCACTTTCACCTGCTTCTTGGCAAAGATATCATAGTAGAGATATCACTGTGAGTGAAACTTGAGCCTACAAATAAAACAAAAACTTTGTTTCTATGGCTTAGAGCAACCCCACTATCCAAGCTTGGAGATTGATCATCCAGTTGCTGGAAATGTTATTGTTTTAGCTATAGTTGAAATATTGCAGTTGTTATCTCCGTTTCTTGCTTTTTGAGTTGCTCAACTGATAGATCAGGTTGTGGAGTGTCTGCTTCATAACAAAATATGAGTTATATATGAAACTCCCTCTCCTGCCTTCCTCTCCACTTTGCCCTCCTTTTGGCTGGTGTAATCCAGAGCTACTTGACCTTCAAAACTGTGAAGAGATGTTGTTTTCTGTTTCTCTGAAACCAACTTGTGGATTTTGCGGGGTGGGGGGAAGTTTAGAAGAATCATTAGCTGGTCCCAGAAATGGGAAGATAGTGGTTCTGACAATGAAGATATTAAGCAGCTTGGGGGTGGGGAAGGGGTAACCATGTCAACTTCACTTTCCTAGTACTGGGAGATCTGGGAGGAAAGCCTGGTAGTGCCCACTAGCCTGGAGATGAGCAGGCAGATTCCAAGCTGCTGATTCTAAGAGGCTCTGATCTGGAGAATTAGAGACCCATAAGGCTGAAAGTGAACCTGAAAGGAAACATCTTTTTTCCTGGACTTAGGAAGTACTTTCAACTCCAAATCATCTCTAGGAAAAAAAAAAGAGAGAGAGAGAGAGAGAGAAAGAATGGATTGTTTTAAGTACCCTTTAAAGTTTCAGAGATAATGCTCCACAAATCCCTTCTTTAGGGGTTTCATCTCAGTATTTACTAATTTTCCCATATACTTCACAAGGTGAATTATTCGTTTGAAAAACTATTTTGTGGTCAGTTTAAAATAACTGATATTAACAAATCCAGTGGGTTTGGTTGTTTTTTTTTTTTTTAAGATTCATTTATTTAGCATGGAAGAACTGGGGTGTAGTCCATAGTGGTGATAGCACTAAGACTTAACCCCTAGGCCACCAGGGAGGCTGCAACAAATCCAGTGTTATCGACAATATTTTGTCTTACATACTGATCCCCAACCTTGAGGTCATTTTAGTGTGCCAGTAAACCATGACAGTTAATGGTCTTCCTTAATTATATTCAAGAGGCATGTTTGATTGTTGGACATACTGGAATTGTCTTGTGAACTCTTGATAAGGGAAAATAAGGATGTAGTTCAGATGCCATCCTTTGGTGTGAACTCCTGTGCACTGAATAGCAGGTATGCTAGTATACCTGAAGCACTTTTGCATGGCCCTCAACCCCCAAAATACCATCCCTACACACATAAGCAAATGAAGGGAGTTGGGCTTTCTCCTTTATACCTTAGGCTTCATATTGTTATTTTGTAATGACTTCCCTTGTGGTTACTTCTAGTGAAGTTTACTCTCATCCAGTTAAATTAAGTTGTAAAAATGTTGCTGAAAGAGCTCATGCCAGGGTTTACTTGCTCCAGGGAGATCAGATTGATAAGAGAACCAAATCTGAAGATTTGTGTGAATATTGAGATGTTGGTAGTTTGAGATCTGTTGAAACCGTGATGTGTTCCAGAACTCACCTGGTTTCTCTGATGTCTTCAGACAAGGAATAACCTAGTGCTAGTGGCATAGTATTATCTGTGGGATGTATGGTTAAGTGCTTGAGTTTATAGAGTCTTTGCCAGGTTAGTAATCCAGACTTGAGTCTTTTTTTTTTTTTTTTTAAGAGGCACATATTTTGTTTGTTTGTTTGTTTGTTTGTTTATACATGCACTGGGTACAGTCAGAAACACGGGAGGGTGAGAGAATTCACCAGAGCCAGAGCAGGGAGCAGAGCAGGCAGAAGGACCGAAGTACACTGCTGAGGGGAGCAGCGGGCGCCATGTGGGACCCTCCTCCGGTGGCAGGGGAGCAGCCGGGGATAGAACCTGCGCCGCAGAGGCTGCGGGCAGCTTCGCAACCCAACGCTCAACCGCTGCGCCACCGGGGAGGCCCAGACTTGAGTCTTAATTTAATCTCTAGCTTTTGTGAACCTGTGTGTGCCTTTGTAGTCCCCTGTGTAAATTGGGAATAGTAAAAACACCTTTCTCACAAGATCATATTAGGATTAAATAAATCTGGGCCTCCCCGGTGGCGCAGCAGTTGAGCGCTGGGTTGCGAGGCTGCCCGCGGCCTCTACAGCGCCGGTTGGATCCCCGGCCACCGGGCGAGGGTCCCAAGTGGCACGCAGACCTCTCCTGCCGCCCGCTGCTCCCCTCAGCAGTGTACTTCGTCACTCTGCCTGTTCTGCTCCCCGCTCTGGGTCTGGTGAATTCTCTCACCCTCCTGTGCCTCTGACTGTACCCAGTGCTTGTATAAATAAACAAATCTTTAAAAAAAAAAAGATTAAATAAATCCTCTTCTCCAATCATTTCTCTAATACCCCTAGGAGCTGGATCAGACATGGACCATCTCAAAGGAGGAATGGAGTAGGAGATAAAAACTAATCTTTGTCTGATGTTCTTGTCCAACATGTACTGGCATTTCCTGGTATACAAAGCTGATTAAAATCAAAAGACCTGTAGTCTTAGTTTCATACATTGTTAATTATTATTCATGTAACTTAAAGTAGTTCACTTAGCTTTGAGGTTATCTTCCTCATCTTTAAAATGGGAATAATGCTTCATCACTAGCCATTTTGTACATATTGTTCCCTTTGCTTAGGTGTGTCTTTTTTCTTTCTTCTACCCCATATTTATGTCAGGGAACTCCTACTCATCTTTCAAAAGCCCACTCCAAATGATCTCCAGACCAGACCCGCCTTTGGGGTACCACCATCCACATTGCCAGGGAAAAGGTATTAGGCTTTCCTATTGCTGAGGAATCAGAATTATATGTCTATTTCCTTATTAGAGCATATTTCATAAACATATTTTACCTATTTCCACCATTAGATGGTGAGCTCTTCCAAGGTATTGTTCATTCTTTTCTTTTTCTTTTTTAAAAACTATCCCAGTGTCTTCTCTATGCCTAGATCTGAATAGGCCTGTAGAAAATGCCCTGCCTCATTGTTATCCTGAGGATCTGAGATACTTGATACGAAAATGCTTTTTAATTTTACGGCTAAACAAACAAGAAGATGATAGTATTATTAAGAAAAAACTACATGGGCATGTGGCAGGGTGTTCATCTTTTTTCAAAATCACAGTGCTAACTGAGCTT